CAGTACTTTTTTCCATAAAATGTCTAACATTTTTACAGCGGTCATCTAACCTGCTCTTTTAAAAAAAATGCTGGGTTGTTTTGACCCATGTTTGGGTCAAACATGGACAAACCCAACCATTGGGTTACATTTTTTAATTCAGTTTTTAAACAAAACGGCCTAAACATGGGTTACAACAACCCTGCCTTTTTTTTTTTTTTTTGAGTGTGTGCAGGGTGTGCAAATCAGTTTAAATGTACAGTTGATGAAACACATCAAATATGTATTATTATGCAGTTAGATGCTGCATGGAGTTAGAAAGTGTTAGAACAACCTTCAATGAAAAACAGAGGTCTGAATGTTAAAAAGCACCTATTTTACATTTTATGCATGATGAGTATTTTAATTTAGCTTTGATTAATTTGGCACTAAAATGTGATTAATGATTGTATTAAATGAGTTTAAAGGCATATTGTACCTAGAGGCTATGGATTATTTGATTATAATAGCCTACATAGGCAGACCGGCGCTAGTTTAGACTTTGTGCCATAAGACTTTCGACTCAAAAGCTTATTGCTACATAGCTTATCGATCCTCAAATCTGGCTCGCGAGATCTACTTTCCTGCAGAGTTTAGCTCCAACCCTATAATCAAACAAACCTACCTGTGATTTTCTAATGATCCTGAAGACATTGATTAGCAAACTCAGGTGTGTTTGATTAGGGTAGAGCTAAACTCTGCAGGAAAGTGGATCTCGCAAGCCAGATTTGTAAAGAATGATGGCATTATTTCAATCCCTGTTTACAAACCGGTTTCTGACCTTAGGTCACAGTGCTGCCAAATGTCACACCCTGGAAGCTTGTATCATTTGACATGTTATACACTCTCTCTGTGTGTGGTTTAAACATTTTATGAAAATATTACAAACATCTAACACAAAGTTATGCTATAGAATAGTCATACGACTGAACACATTACAATAACACACTGTGATATATTATGGGTCTGTACGGAAGACAGAATGAGTTCTTGTAATTCACAGTGTTTTCTCCTGTGGTGAACTGTGACTAAACCATATACAGGCATATGGTTCAGTATTACTGGAAAAAATAAGACCTCCATGGGCACCCCTGTTTTATGTGTCATACACAAAAAACATCAATTCTAAAGAAAAGAAACCTCTGACATGCAAAACCCAGAAATAGAAGAGGTTCATATACTTACAATGAAGTCACAGGCATGACTCAGAACCTCAGTACGCTTCGATGAGAACTGACAAATAAAACAAATGTGAATGTCAGAAGAAAGACTAGATAAATGAAGGGAGACATATGTTCATCATTTAGTGAAAGCCATGGATATCAACTCACCTTATGATTCAACAACAGCCAGAAACAAAAACAAGCTAAAAGCAGTTCACGGATCTGACAGAAATAAACGAGCACATATATTGAATCATGATGCGCTGGATAAACTACTTTATTGGGTGTTGTTCATTTATAAAATATACATGGTTACCAAAATACTTCAAATTTCTTTTTTTTTTAATAAATGCCTTTTAAGGCAAGACAACATGTAAACATGTCAAAGACAGTGTACAGAACAGTTACAATTACACAACCACATACAGTACAGACACACAGCAGCATCGCCACAACGCCACATACCAACATCTCCATACATCTACCACCCTCCGGCATCCAGTAAAGCGCCAAATGCATTTCTAATGAATTTGTTAGTCTGTACAATTTGCAATTCTCTCAAAAACCAAAAGACTTTAATTACAAGATAAACAGAACAGAAGAGAGAACCGAACTGGTGAACGGACTTAAAGGAAAAGTTCACCTAAAAATGATGTGGATGAGTTTGTTTGTTTTTTCATCTGAAAGGATTTGGAGAAATTTAGCACTACATTACTTGCTCACCATTGAATCCTCTGCAGTGAATGGATGGAGTCCAAACAGCTGATGAACACACAGCTTTTTACTTCACAAGACCATAATTGATCGACTACAGTCGCACTTTTGGATTATTGTCATGTTTTTATCAGCCGTTTGGACTCTAATTCTGACGGCACCCATTCACTGCAGATTATCGATTGGTGAGCAAGTGATGAAATGTTAAATTTCTCCAAATCTGAAGAAACAACCTCTACATCTTGGATGGCCTGAGCCCTGATGGTGAATACATTTTTGGGGGAACTATTCCTTTAAATTAAAGACAACATGACATTCAAAATTCATTGATAAAGTGAATCATTTTATGTAATAGTTCATAATAAGGTCCATTTGGAGAAAGCCTGGGCTTTCCAAAAGTTGATATTTACTCTGATTGCATATCTGGACATATTCTGGACAATTTCAAATCATAATGGTGTCATCCACAGCAAAAGTGAACAGAAAAAACGAAATTAAAAGGGGACATAAATTACACTGTTCTTCATCTTCAACACAAAACAAAAGCAAAAAGTTTAAAAACTTGGTAAATTTGGATTTTTGACAAAACATGCAAACTCTAATCGTACGAAATTGTCACAGGAGCTAAAATCTACCACTGGTTTCTATCACTCAGCATGCAAAATCTACTTCCACAGACATGCAAATACACAATCTGTACATCATTTACAAGTGCTGAGTGGAAGAGTAAAATAAATTCGCTCCTTCCGATGTGAAAGTTTTCATATTCCATTTCATCAATGTAACAAACCTTCCAATGCTGTGCAGAACAAATAGCACGTTTATTTCAAAGACAAATCACTGTGTAGCATGCACTGTCTCATAGAATATCAGCTGACCATTGAAACATTGAACATTCAGTTGTGCTACCACTGAGTTCTGAGTCTATCAACGGGAAAGCAGAAAACTGCACTGGAACGACTTTGGGATACTGCAGATATGCCCAAACACTCAACAACAACTAATGGCAGGTCTTAAAACCACACTACAAAGATCACTGCCACAGCGCTAGTCAGCCGTCTACAAGCACATATGTCTACTATGATTTAGTCACTTTGATAAGAAGTCTACTTAGTGCGGTTTGTTGAAAATAACACCAAAAGACATCAGGTGAAGACAACTTGTGTGTATACCAGAAACGATTATATAGCAATAGATACTGTAAGTATAAAGTCATAGATTCTGTTCAATAGTACCTCAAGGCTTAACGCATTCATTTACTAGAATCATTACATGGATATGAGTTCAGTAACACTATTGTTAATCTTCACACAGGAAGATACGTCTGTAATAATCCCCATCCACACAAAGACTTAAAATTGTGATCTCTGATGTAAAAAGCTACATATAAGTACATATTTCTCAGTTTTAAACGTCTTTAGTGAAATATACATAATTTAAGACAAGTTTCTTACCATTATAACTTTTTTGGTGAAAGGCAGTATGGAAGTTTCTGCTTCTAGCACTATTATTAGCTAGATAATCAATTCATGCTATTTATTTATGCTACAGATTTGAATTGCATTGTAAGAAACATCTTTGTTATGGTTTTCTGTAAGGGTTTATGACAGTAGTTCTCAACTGGTTTTTACATTGACATCAAGTGGCAACCAAATACACAAAAAAAAATTGGTATTTAAAAATAATGTCAAAAATGTATATTAGCGTGAACTGCATAGGTCCAATGATACGCATTATATGATTTAGGAAGATTTACTGACTACAACAGATATGCATTTCAGGTCTTAATGTGCATTTTTATAAGCTTTTTCTTTTTGCTACAGTATTTTAACTTTATTTTAGGATTGTTTTTCCTGAAATAAATGACCTGCAATTTATTTTTGGGTCCTGGCACCAGATGAAAACCACCAGTTCATGACATTTTGTTCTTTCTTTAAAAATGTTCCAACTCTGTCAGCTTCCTTGCAGAGAAGAGATTGTATAGACATACAGTATAAGTCGTCTGTGTTTTGTCATTGCAAGCATGCAAAAAAAAAACAACCGCAAATAATCATCAATGCATCGTGGAATTTTCAGTAGATCTGTGCTTGTTCATTACACTAATTTCTCTTTTAGCTTATACATTATTCAATGCTTATATAAAAATATCTATCACTCTTTAGCATCAATTAACAATCTACACACACAAAATCAATCTACAAATTTCTTGGAATAAACAATTCAGATACAAAAATATCTGTAAATTTAAAATAAGCCCGGTTACCTGCTGGAATAACCTTAACCCACCTGGAGTCTTCAAACTCTGGATTTTTTTCACCAAAATGAATGTAAAAATGACAAATAGTATGCATCACGTGAGTAATCTCCTTTGCTAGCATATAGAGAAGTACTGTGCAGTTAACTGCAGAGCTTTTGAGTTAGAAACCTAAGAGAACATGCCATGGTCTAAAGTGAAAGAAGTTCTCGGTTACTGAACCTAAACACAAACAATTCTGACAGTATTGAGACTTCGGTACGTAATTATTCAAAATGGAAAGATCCAGGAAGATTAAATAAGTACTGCATGCTCCTACCTAATCGAAAAGCAATGAAGCACAAAGCAATACGCTGCATCCAAAGCATTGTTGATGAAGAATGGTGTCCTCTTCGGTCCCCAAGAGATCAGGAATCTGTTTACAGAGGTAAAATGTGCAAATGTTCTATTGTAAAGTGATAAGGCAAAGTTTTGGGAAAGAAAAAACAACTGATGAAATGGAAAGCGGGGGGTCAGACCAATCAGAAGCTCTTGGAGTCGTCCTCCATTCTGACCATTTAAATACCCACAGCATGGCGTCAGTGTCTGTAGCACTGCTGGTCGAAACGGAAATGATTGTCTACAAAAGCAGAGCAAAGCAGTTGAAACGGCAAACAACCAGCATCACAATGCACACCAAAAAGCGCCAAGTTTGGAAGCGATGTGTTATAGTGTTCCCGTATGTCCCAGGTGAGTGATGGTTTTCAGTTCCCATTGGTGGATAAGTGTGGTCGGGGTGATAGAATTGTGTACCATGGGCAGAGTGGGATGATGAGGTCACTTCCTGTCCAGCACTCAGGCCAGAGCTCTGGTGAAACTGGGAATGAGAAGAACTGCTGCTGCTGCCACCGCAACAACCAACACCAGGTTCCAGTCTCCCTCACTCTCCTGAGGTCAATGAGAGGAAGAGAATGACATCAGAGGGCAAAGGTCAAGAGAAGCAATATTTAAATTTTTTAAATATTTTTACTCTTATTTATTCTTTGTTAATATTATAGTTATAGGACAGAACTTTGATACTAGCTGTTTAATAGTTATTGGACATATACATTTACTTTTTGATAATTTTTTATTTTTATTTTTACCTCTGAGATATACAGTAAATAAGGTCAAGAGAAGTCATAAAATTTTGATATTTTAATGATATAAAATTTTGATTGTACCTCTGAG